TGCTGTGGTAGGGTATCTTCAGGGAAGGTTCCACCATGTTCCTGTGGTTATGTACACCGCCTTGGTGACCTCAGCAATGACAGTCGTGCTCTTCCCTCTGATGTACAAGTTGGCCCGCTCTCCCAGTGAGAGCGACTTGAAGGAAAGGAGTGAGAGTGAGGACCGGAAAGCCTTGTTGTCAAACTCGGGGCTTAATGAGGATGAAGAGGAGGAGGAGGATGCAGGAGAGTGGAACGAAGCAGACTTTGAGGTAATAGAAATGAATGACACGCTGAGAAACTCTGTGATAGAGACCTCCTGGAAGATACCAGGGGACTCTCCGGCCAAAGCCCCTCTCCAGCCCCATCTGGACGATGTGTTGCATGATTCTCCAGTGGTTGCTGGTGGCTCCCCTGGGAGAAAAAATGTGAACGTCGACCGGGAGAAGAATGATTAAAGTGAAAGATGACTGTTTTTTAAAAAAAGGGAAATGCGACTGAATTGTAGCTGTTCTTGTAAAGTGGTTCAGGAATCCTTTTATAGCGGCACAGAGCTCAGTGTGTGCTTTTCCGTTTGTCCGGCCTTTTCTCCTCTTTCATTTTTGGTCTGCAGCGACGTGTCTCAGTGGGAAAGTCCACGATGACATGAGTGGGGCGATGCGATGAAACGTATAGACTACACTGAAAATGGTAAAACATGAGACGTTTTTGAAACGTGAGGCATGCCTTTATGTAATAATGCTGTAATAGGAACCACTGAGGAGAGAAGGGGACTGCTCAGACCGCTCAGTTTTTTGAGGTGGGTGAAGGGTGCAGTTCTGAGGTGCTTGGTCACAAAATGTCTTCATGAGAGAGAAATGTGTTATCTGGGATGCTGAAATTTCTGATCTCCTGAAAGAAGACTGTTTGTACTGCACTGCAAGTTCGTGTGTGACATAAACCAGGAAATGAGGTCAAATTTCAGGTGCTGCCCAGTGGCCGTAAATCGGCCAGCCACTGGCAAACTATATACTTTCCTGGTTCTGCCACCAAGATAAGAAAAAAGTTAAAATTAACTTTTAGGAGTGGAACGGTGTGGTTTGGGTCATTCAAAAGTGGTGTATGGGAAGGGGGACAAAACGGGTGGTGTCAATCTGCTAAAATGCTTGACTGATTTACGGGTTGAACAGTGGTGACAGATCCAGGTAGTGTGAAGCGCTTGTACTTGTGGTTTTAATTACTGCACTGCCACTGACATCAAGGCAGGGATGAAGGTAAGAGTATATATGAACAGATTACCTGTTACATGGTGTTGACATAGGGCTGTGGTATTTTTAAGCCAGTTGTTTAAATTAAGGTTATAACAACTTCTCTGGCTCCCTGTGCCAAGACTTTACCATAGTGGTGTGGTAAAATGGAAATTTGCAGATGAGCGGGAATTGTCGATGAGCCAACACGCTCACGTGCCCCTTACCAGCTGGACTGGTCCCATTCGGGTTTTGTTTCTTTGGGTGATGAGTTACAGGCAGACTCTTCCTAGAGGAGCAGCAGGGGTTTGTATTTGTACGTTCTTTGCTGCTAAGCAGGAAGACCTGGGAAGGACCAGTCCTGCCAGTCTTCCCTTCCCAGTAAGAGCAAGAAGAGCAGCAGCTAATGGCAAAATCTGACTCTGAAACAGTAGTCTTGCAATTTGTCTACTTGAAACTCCAAATTTGTAGGCTAAGTATTTTTTTTCCAGGCTGTGTGAGCAGAATGTGCTCATGTTTCGCATTTTTTACCTTGCACTTTTATTAGCATTTTTCACCTTGCACTTTTATTAGCATTTTTCTTGCTAAGAAATTTAAGTAAGTTACTAACAAAAGAGATCCAGATGTAACGTAGCACGGAATCTTAGACATTCAGTGTATTTACAGGTCTGGTTTTGTTCCCTCTCTTGTCCTCTGAGCGTGCAACCTAGAACCTTGTGGGTTTTTCCTTTCTTCTGAGAAGTTAGTAGGAAGCAGGAATCAACTTGTAGTGAAAATGCATGGGGGTTTGGGTTTTTTTATGTTGGGTTTTTTTTTTTGTGTCTTGCCGTGTTGAAGGGCCTCCCGCTCCCTCTGCTGTCAGCTCTTAAATGCCACTGTGGTTTTGCCTGATTCCTTTTTTTTTCTCCCCTTGTGTGTATGCACCCTTCCACGGCATCTCTTCCCGTGCACCGCATGAACCTGCACTTTAAAACACGGCCTTGTTCTCACGTGTTACACAGGGCTGCTCGGCTTTGCCTAAAGTAAGGAATAGGAAATGCTTTCAAATATCAGGCCAAGTGCTCTGGTGCACGTGACAGCAGTTGATCCGCAGGAGCCAGTCTGTGTGGCTTTGTGTGTGTAGTTGTTTTGGCAGGATAACAAACGTTATGGTGGGTGCAGGTTAAGCCTGTGTTTCTTTAACTCTCCTTTTCCTCCTGCACTCGTGTAGGAGTAACTGCTTTGTGTGTGTAGGAAGGAGTGGATGTTATCCAATGGCAAGGACAAATCCCGCTGGTGGATGGGGAGGGGGGGAGTGATAACTGCTGCTGCTCTGCCTTTGAAGGTGCTCCCCCACCCCGCCCCGGGAAGGTCACAGGTTTCCTTTGGCAGAAACTGGGTTTGGTGCAGGACAAACAAAAAAGATACGGAAATGGTTCTGTGGCAGCTCCCCACTGTAACTGTAATCCCTTGGCTTTCCCTGAATTGTTGGCGACATAAAAAGGTTTCTCCATATCCGAGATCATGTTGCCAGAAGAAAATTAGTTTAAGAAATGGACCTGGTAACTGGGAAGATTTTAAATAATCCCCAATTCATATCCTAATTTTTGGAATGAAATTCCAAATTGGAATGTCCTGCAAGTAAGATTGTTCTCAGGGATAGCTAACACATCTTGCATAATTAAGTACTAAAAACCAGAAAATGAAATTAAAGCTGCTTTGAGAAATAGGCTGTAACCTCTTTGAACCTTACCTACTTATTGCTTATACACACACACACGCTTACTTGTGTTCCTGACTAGTGTCTTCCCAACAAGTGTGAAAATACTGTGCAAAACAAAGATTTTTTTTTTTTTTTTTACTGGCTGTATTAATTCCTGCGTGAGTCACTTGAATTCATGTCCATTTTCCCCCTTAAAAGCAGGAGGCCGGAGTAGTAGGAAAGGAGCAACAGCCAGGAACACCAATGTAAGAGCAGCCTTTTACAGAAGGTAAGGGATCCAAAAAGCAGCGGCAGGAAGAAAGAGCAGAACTCGCATCATAATCTTGAATGGTGCTGTGTAGAATCACGTCTGATTGATTCGTGGAGGCCTTTGTCTGGATGACGTCTAAATTCTGAGTCACCTTAGTGAGCACTTAGAGTCTTCGATGTCTGATTCTGGCCTCAGACTTGAAATGGAATGTACTTAGGGAACTTGTTCTCTCATCCCCTAACAGCAGGCACTGCCCTTTAGTGAAAATGAAATGTTTAAAGCAATTCAAAATTAACACAGATCTAGGACATTTCCAACAATAGGCCAGCTAGCAGCAGTTCTAGACATCCTGGGTGTTCAAGGCTGTAGCTTCCCGAGTTCTTGGATCTTCGTGTTCCTCAAGGCCTGTTTCTAGACAATAAATGTTGGTTTTTACATGTTTAAATTTCCTTCCTAAGTAAATTGCTTCCCAGCACATACAGTTCAAGTGAGGATCTATTTACAGTGCCTTTGAAGTTACAGATCCTCCAGAAAGCTTATGCCCTTAAACTTGAAAGGGTTGAAATTACTTCAGGTAAACTGCATTACTTTGCCATTGCTTTGCTTGTGCTGGAAGAGTCACCTCTGTGTTGAGGACAAGAGCTGTGGTCCGTGGATCAGATACTTGAATTTAGTAAGAATCCTGTTTTTGTCCATAAAACCAGGAATGGGTTGATGATGAGCACTTTCCCGTTTAGTCCAGTGTGAAAGGCAACCTCTCGCAGTGAAGTGTCATTTAGTATTTTTATTTATCCCTGATGCGCTGCCAAACGCTGGATCGCACCGCGAGCACTAAATGCGTTTGTCCTGCCCCTTCTGCCCTTTGCACTTTCATTCCGTACCTGGCCAGGAACAGGCAAAGTTTGGTGCCTTGATGGTGTTTTTTTTTAGTTACTTTGCATAAAAGCGCATCGCAATCCGTGGATGTTCTATTATATATTTAATAGTTTTTATTCTGCTTGGTGTGGGTTTACACTGTACTGTACAATGTGGAATTTCATAGACTTGTATCTTGAATGTAATAAATTCTGAACTGGAGAAGGCACTCAGGTCCTTGACGTAAATAAAGTTCTGTTCTATTTTTCAAAGCTACTCTGGATTTCTAAATTTAGAACTCACTCCTGTTTGGACTACCGGAAAAGTGGAAATGTTTCTTTGGTTTGGGGAGAGCCTCCAAGAATTGATACTGAGGTTTTAGATCCCAAAGCTTAAGCTGGAAACTGAACTGTGGATTCTTAACTCCTTCTTACCTGAGCAGCCTTGTTTATGTTACTGTTTGTGCGCCACAGGAGCGAAGCAAAGGTGTCTGCAACCAGGGTAACCACTAAAAAGCATGTAACTTTTACCATATCGTTTTATTCAACTTTAATATGGTTTCCATTATTAACTTCTAAAACAAAATGATTTCCAGTTTAGAAAACAATGCACTGACCACATAATTCCTTTTCCATTTTATACAGTTATACAAATATTCTAAATACACATTTTGTCAAGATGGTGGCAAATAAGATTTAACTGTACAGTACATAAGGAAAGAAAATATTTTAAGCATATTTAGAAGCAATAGAAATGTCTATACAAAACAAGCAAAAATGGAATAAAATTTTATATTTAAAGTATTGCAACAGTCCCACAGGTTTGTAACAAAAATGTCTTTGCACAGTTCCTCACAATGCCCCATTAATAGCTAAAGCAAGACAGCAATTTTTAGAAAATAATGATTCAAAATGCTACACATGATACTACTGCTTGCACAGTCTGATCAAAATAACAATCTACTTGGAATCGAGCAAAACTTAGGAGGAGATATACCAACCAACTTTAAAATTATCTGTATAAAAGTCATTGCACATTATTTTACTCAGTTGTTTGAAAAGTAAAAAAGTGTATTTACAAAATATTTCGCAGACAAAATTATAAAGTGAATGGATAATATAGAAGTAACACGTCTTGATACTGACAGTTCAAGAACACACACTAATGGTTTCATCGTTTCAAGAGGTTTTCAGTGCTCCTTCCCCCAGGAAGTAAACTCGACTTCTACTTTGAAATGGATTTACAAGATGTTACACATAGCTATTTCAACATCAGCATTATAAAACAGTATGTTAGAAACATGAAAGAAAGAAGAAATTTGTACATCTTAAAAAGTGAGCTATTCATAGATCAACAAGTGTTGTTTGTTTTTTTTTTTAATTTAGTTAGGATAAGTGTTCATTATTCTTCAGGTAATAAACCCAACAGTTAAAATGGAAATCCTGGACTAGATGAGAATTGAAAAAGCACCATGCACAATAGTCCTAGTGTGGTAAACACTGAAAAAAAAAAAATTAGCACCTGGAATCCTGTAACACAGCTCATCTAAAACTGGTCGAGCAGCTGGCGAAGATACGGTGCCTTCGACAGTTCTCTGCTTACTCTGGAGAGCTTGAAGAGCACGGGGCAGTTGAGGGAGACGCACTGGATGTGTCGATCGAAGCAGCCTGTACAGTTCCTGCAGATCTGGGTTACACACAGAAAAGCAAAACATCGTTGGAAACCTCTTCACACAAGCACGGCACCGATCACTTGGGACTAGCGAGTCCCCAGTGTTGTACCCGCCCAACAGGCACGGCCCCACCAGCGCCAGGCTTTTCCCCAGCACAGAGGGATGCAGAGCAGCTCTGTTCCCTGCCGCTGCCAGACGGCGTTTTGCTTTGCTGCTGGTGCCTGGCCGGCCGGCATCACCCAGTGCCAACTGGGCAGAGAGCAACAGCTTGGCTGTACCGCTCGGGTTTCAATCTGCTAATTAGGTGCTACTCGTATGTGGTGATGCTTGGAAAAATGAGGTAAACAAGTTGATTGGATTTAAGCAAGGCAGGGTGTTATGATAAACTTATCCTGTGTAAAAGTTTCCTCGTGAAGAAAGACAAAACTGTTACTCTGCAGTTATTCTCTACATGGGAAAGAGACTTAATAAACTGCTCCTGTTTCAAGGTAAGCTTTAATGAGAGTTTTACTTTCCAAGCCCAAGCTAATCAATCCCAAGACAGACATACACAGGTTCCACCGCTCTCCTCCTTCAATGCAGCTACTCGTTCATGTAGTTAATGCTGCTTCAGAGTACTTTTAGCATGAGATACCTGATGGAATAAAATAGCAGCAGGCACAGTTCTTCCAGAGGTAGCTACCTTCAGAAAACTAAAGGTCCCTGCTTTGCTGTTTTATTTTTAATCCTTTCCAGTACCTGCCACCTCCAATGGTTTTTCCAAAAACTCAGGAGTTTGCTTCCAATCGCACTCGTGTTTTGTTACACCGTGTTAGCTACTATTTGCATAGTTTGAACAAGAAATCAAAATAATACCCTGTGTTTTTAAAATCAGTTCTTTTCCTTCGTTCCATGTTAAAGCTATTTGGGCACCAGCGGCCCTCTCAGCCAGACCTGTTATCAGCACTGAATCCCTGCAGACTGGAAACTCAAACTGACAAGAGCTGGAGAGGAGCAGCCACTCTCTGCCAAGTCCCATGCGTGGCACCTCAGAGGACACCAGTCCTCTGACCTGCACCGTGGCCAAAAGGAGCAGGATTTACACGGCTTGTTCCAGGTCCGTAACTGCTAGAAGAACCTCAGAAATAAGTCTACCCTAGTTCTTTCGGAAGAGGCTGTGGCTGGTTTGAACGCAAGGGACCAAACTAAATGGTACTTGAGACACTTCCTAAGTTCAGTCTGTGTAGAGGGGAGAGGTCTATGGCCTTCATCTATGGCACGTAATTTTTAAGTGCATTTTAAATTAATATACGATTCAGTGTTCTACCAGTTTTCTGCTGGCTCCAGCACCTTTATAATCCAGAAGGGCCAAGAATTTAAGCTGTGAAGGATATATACATCTCCGTACTGAAATAAGACAGATGCTCTTACAGAGAGGTTGAGTCACCAAACACTGACTGGAACGGGATCCCAGGCCTCGCCGACCTGTTGCATGTTGCAGGGACAAGAGAACATTCTGATCAAACCCACTGATACTTCTGTGGGGCTGCACCGATCTGCCAAGTTCTGATTTACTCCAGAACAGACGCAATGTGAAAGGTTCAGAGCACCACAGGAAAACTGCAGAACACGCATCACCCTCCTTTACTGCCTTTTACAATGCAGATCAGAGCAAATACTGCAAAATACAGCACGAAACAGAGTCCACATCTTAGTGACGCAATATTTATGAACCGTCAGTTGTAATGGCTTTCCAGCAACAGAGCCCCGTGGGAACCTATCACATCAATGCCTAGACTACAGGAACATTTATACCCCTGCAATTCAGATGAGTCTTGAAAATGGTTCATGTGCTAGCGCTAAAAATAAATCTTAACAAGAATATTTATTAATTATAACACACGACAGTATGAAAATTAGGTGAGGATATCCAGGTATTTGTGCAAGGGGAGGCATTGTGATTTGCTGTGATACACTCGTGTGCACAGTCAGCTACCCTCTTAACTGACTTCTAGCTCAAGGGAAAAAAACAGCTTGGAAAATTCCTATTGAGAGGAAAGGTAACTGGAAAACCCACAAGCCAAAAACACATCCATGTTACACATATAAATAAAGAAATTTTCTGGGACAAACATTTTTTGTTATTTTAACGCAAAAAAGGTGAGTCTTTCATTTTCAACTCTCCATCACAGTCATTATAAAAAGGCACCTACAAACCCTGTCAGGTACTCTTAAAAAAAGAAGAAAAGGAGAAAAGCGTCTTCAGTTCTGACCCCTCCCCCTTGCCTTCAGTTTTATGCAAAGCAAAGGAGAGTAACAGCTGCTATGCTGCAATGGGAAAAGCAAACAAGCTATAAATAACATGTTTAACACCCGGGTTGTACTTCCCGTTTCTGCTGAGGGCATTCAGTGACATTTCAGCCCCTGCCTTTGGCTGACAGACATCCGACACTGCTTTAATCGTACCTTGACCAGCTGTTCGTGCTTACGCTCCAACTCTCGGATCTCTTGGTTGAGAATCACTGCCACATGCTGTGGCTGGCTTCTGCATTTATTACAGATCCCATACTGGGTCAGTTCATCACACACGGGACAGTGTAGGGTCGTGAAATACTGGGAGATTGTGCCTTTGTGTCCTTCTAGCTCACTGCGGGCAGTCGAGGTGGCTTTTTGAATCTGTTAAAAAAAATAATTAAGGGATATTGAACTTTCAAGAGAGTAGCTCACCTTATTCCTAGATTACACAGCCTGTTTTTTTAAAAAGGAGTATGAAAGTGTGACACAGCCTGCAGGGCATGGGCTTATACAGGAATTATTAATGTGGATTGCATCACTCTGAAGAGCACAGCACTTGCCCTGACGTGTTACACTGAACAGAGCCCACCCACATCTATTTCACAGGGAATCTCACCAGAAAAGTGCAACCGAAGAAATCCTGTCACGCGCTAAATTCCTGATCTCACGTTGGACTCTGCCTCCTGCAGTTGTTCCTTTGTAGGTGCTGATCTCCACATCCGAACATGCCCTGGCCGCAGCCCCAGTGCTGCCTTCCAGATCCTGCCTCTGCTCGAGCTTCTGTGCCGGTGCGGTCCCGGTCACAGAGCTGCCACCGTCCTTTGGTCCGTGGCTCCAGCTCCTGCTCTTGTTTCCCCAGACAAAGCTCCACCACTGCTCCCTCACTCAGGGAAGTTCGCCTCTCTACACTCGCTCTTGGTGCTGCATGACTTTTGCTTTACGTGATCCTTCACTCTCCTGCTTCAAACACCCCGCTGCTCCGCTCCCTGTGACTTCCTCGGAGCTCCCTGGCCTTGCAGAAAGTCAGGGCTCTTTCTGCCTTTTTAAAGCATCTTGTTGGAGATACTTACGGTAAGTGTCACAGTGCCATTGGAAAGGCAGAGAAAAGAAGCAGAACGGAAGTAAATCAAGGCTATGTTAAAAGTCTGCAGTGGGGACCACGACGTACTGCTCTGCTGCTGAAGTCTACACTAAGAAGAGTAACCAAACGACACTGATACAGTGTCTTTCACCATCCCTTTTCATCCGGGGAATCACAAATTAAAATCCAGCTATCTAACACTTCTCTTCCTGCATCTCAATGATCTCTCTAACTTTTAGGAGTCAGTTCTGGATATAATTAGTTACAAATTTCTGGTGATACAGATTTTTAAAGAAGTGTTCCTGCTGCTGGGTTATTACCACCTTTTCTATAAAGAGGAAAGATCTTCAGAACATCTTGGAAAAACAGGAAAAAAAAATCTCTCCTACTACAGGGAGATTTAAAAGGTGCAGCCAAACAGATGCATATACAAGTCCTGCCAAAAAATATATAGTTACAGCAAAATACTCTTTTATGGAAGGGGTCAGAAAATAGAAGATGATGGTGCGATCAACCTTGCACAGAAGGGTTGAAAAAATTGATTTACTAAGTGAAAAAAACTACAGAGAAGCTCGAAGAACCAGGTCTGCAGGTTTGGGCATCAAACTCTGCCTTGTAGAATAACCTTTGCTGTTGCCTCACATAAACCTCACTCCACTGACAGTCATGGCAAGACCGAACGCTGTACAGAGGCACTGCCTTTGTAGTCTGTTTGCAAACGCTCACCCGTGGCAGCTCGTGGTACCAGCTGAAGACGTCTATGCCAATAAGGGAGAACACCCTGGCCAGCGGTGGCAGAATCTGTTTGGTAATGTAGTACGTAGCATTCAGCCTCAGGTTGGGATCCTGCAGGACCTCAATGGGCCGCCTCACCAGCTGTATCAGGGGCAGTCCGGGCATGCCGTACACAATGACGTAGGGCACTCGCTCCCCAACTCGTGGTTCCGAGCGACGGTCATAGGCAAGCATCCTCCTGTTTAAAAATTTAGAGCCTTTATAATGCATCCAGAGACAGATTCGTAGTTATTTCATTTGCTTGAAAACTTCTCCATTTGATTATATCGGTAGCTCTCCAGACGTCTGAAGTTGGTGTCTATTATGAAGCACAGGATCAAGTTGTTCCATTTTTAATTTGTCTCATGATCAGATCCAAATTTTTGGACTTGGAACATGAGCCCTAAAGACATGTTCTGTTTCAGGTCACTTGGATTTGCATGCAACTTGCTTTCTAGTTACCTCTTCCTTAAAGAAATATTTTAATAAAGAGCAGCCAGGGTTCTAAAAAGAGCCCAACACACCATTACAGCGTCCTGACAAGAGACTGCACTCTGGAACCTGCCCTGCGTGGCTCTTTCCATGACTATAAAATGGCTTTCTAGGACTATCTGATCCCTGATCTCTCTTTACACACAGAAGAAAGTCAGAGCCAACTGCTGCAACAATATCAGAAGGAGACATCTCACTGCTACCCGTAAGATGGCAGTACAAAGGTCAAAAGAAAAAAATATCTATTGTTAGTACTTCTGAATCTCGTTACCTGGTGATTTCCAGGGCGGGTACACAGGATCCAGGTTTGTAAGCCGAGCTCCCTCTGTACTCTTTTGCAAAGATGAAGTCTTGCATACTGGCTTTTCCTTCCAGTAACTTCATGCATTGATTCTGAACGTACTGTTTGATCTGACTTATGTCCCGTGTTTCAAATAGCAGCTTGATAGAACACTCAAGTATCTTTACAATCAAAGGAGAAAGGTGAGAAAAACACATATGCTTAACTACAAAATAATTAATTCCAAATAATTCAGTCTATTATACGGAAATATTAACACATTGCTTAAAAAAAGTATCAGTTGTGGACTAGAATGTTGATATGACAACATGTTGCATTCTCTTCCATCAAAGACATTCCTAAACACATTACCAGACAACTTTTTCCTCAGTTTGACACATGTATCATGACATTATCCCTACTCCGGCACTAAGACCGTTTCAGTAATTACAGAGGTTTTCCAGAGTACGAGAGAATATGGTTTTTACATCATCTAAAATATTTTGCCATGACTTTCTGACCACCTCAGCAAATAAAAGAATTTGGATTAGAAAGAAATATAGAACCAATCCTCCTAATAAGTTATCTTTCTTACCGGCATAAATTTGTTTTGACTTGACGAAGAACAAGAGCCTTTCCTTTTTAACCCCTCAATATATACCTTAAAATAAATAGGCAAGGAAGTTTATTCTTAGCTAAATTAGAGTTATGTAAGTGAGCTATTTAGCAGACACATCAGTGTGCCTCACTCATCTTGGAGTGAGTTAATTTAACTTAATCCCAGTTAAAGTGAACTGGATCAAGAATGGTCTTCTAGAGAACTTACATGGGACTGAGGGCTTTTATGGGCTTTTTAGGGGCTGAAAGATAGTAGTTAAGATGGAAAGTGCAAGTCCTTGCAACGCTGTGCAAGAGCTTCAATTTATCTTTCCAACGACTCATACCAGAAGAATAGACAAAGTCTCAGACAACTCACAAGGACTAGAAACTCTGAGGAAGAACAAATACACAATGCAATAACAGAGTAATGTAATGTCATCCAGGAAGAAATGCATGAGTATTTTACCTTGGAAACAGCGGGACAGGAGTCCCTTCGGACTGTCTCTATGCCTTTTGCGTCAAATACTGGGTCCTTCTGGTCCAGTGTTTCATACATGTAACCCACGTACCTCTTTTTGGTTTGCAGGACGCATGGCAAGTAGACCTGGAATGTTTAGAAAGAAGACAGAAGATGTGTTGGGAGTGTAAGGTGGCTCTGAACACACAGGGTTTCCTCAGGAATACTTTGCTTTGTTTTTCTTTTTTCCAGTCACTAAAACCAATAAACTACATTAAAGGACTGTTGAAAGATGTCTGAGGAAGTTGAGATTCCATTCCAAGTGGTGTTCCATTCTGAAATCACTTTATATTTCATCTAGCCGTTAAGGCTAAGCAACCTGAAGCTCAGATGAAAAGTGACACACAATATAATTTGCTTTGAGTACCCTTATTTTTGTGGATTGCATCCGTCAGCATTTTTAATGTAAATGTATTATCTCTCTTTCTTAAAGAGACAACAACTTCCTTTTAAACTTCAGAGAAAGCTTTCCCAGCAAAGGTAGTAGCTTTGAAATTTCTATTTTCAAACTTGATCTAATTATGAGGTGCCTAAAATCAGTTAAACTGTGCCTTGATTTGGGGAAAGCACGCTTTTTAAATGCTTGTGCTTGGAGAATGGTGTCCTCATGAATGGATTTTTAGACTCGGTCTCTTTTGCTTGTGTTCTCCAACCTCTTATTTCATTCTTGATTGTGTCAGTATTTCTTGACCAGTTTTAAAAGAAAGAATGGGGAACAATTTCTTCCCAGTTTTACTAGGAAAACATCACATTTTCCTGGCTTTCACGGAAGAGGGAGCAGCGAGTTTAGACTGCCTCAGGCTGAAGAAGATCCTGCCCATAGGTGTCCCACTAGCTTTGAGGCATTTGCCTCTTCCTGTGCTAGGAAGCTACCCTAGGAGACTACTCAGTATTGTGACTCACAGGTGAGTAAGGGCGCTTGAAGTGAAGCACTTGGACATCCTCTCAAGTATATCCTTGCACCTAGTGTTTTCTTCTGGCTAATTACACCTTCAGCTTAAAGACACGGAACTGCCTTGAAGCAGAAAGGGTGTCCGTACATTAGCCAGCAAGGTAAGTCGCTCTGTCTTCCACAGGTATCGTGACTTTTCTTGCTAGTATTTTTCTACTGTATTTTCCGCGAAAAATGGCAATTTGCTTACAAATTCTGACTGAACCTGTTGCGTCAGGTATATACTTGAAAAATATCTAGAGCACCTGAACTAATTGCTAATGACTTTCCAATGATAAACTTCCACGAAAATTAGTAACACATTGCCTTGCTTTTCTTTAAGAAGCTTATTACCATTAATACTTCTTCCAAAAGCCTACTGAATGGATTTTTATGATTTTTCATTTTATATATGTAAGTATCCCATGGACATATCCTGAAGCGTGCTAAGGCTGGCTGAAGAATAAATATCAGGCTCGTAATTAATGCACTGGAATCACTTCAACGGATGGTCTACGTTTTCTCTACCAAGTTGCACACATTGGTTTGATTTTATGTAGGTAACACAAAACTGAGGGAGACATTTCCAAAAATTGATGAGACAGGAATTTCAAATTGCCTGGTGCCGCCAGCGCAACAGGCCACCAGGTACCCTGATGTGAAAGTAGGAATATTTCTTTTTGTTGTTCATGCTGCAGCGCTCATCTGACAAGGTCCCTGAGGCATTGAGGAGCTTGCTAAACACCTGCAGGAACAGTACAGCACACAATTGTTTGACTGCTGTATATCCTTATGCTACGTTAGTGTCCAGAAAAATCTTTTATCTCCACTTTTTTTTTTTTTTGGATAATAATGTTTCCATCCAACAAATTTGAAGCAAAATAGGGTAACGATATTTTCACCCAACACATTTGAAGCAAAATATTTTCTTTTTACCTTTTCAAACTTCAATTTAACAGGTTTGGGGTTTGTTGCTGTTACAGCTTCAGCAATTTCTTGACCAATCTTAAAAGACTGCTCCTTCGTGGCTCCTTTCAAAAGCACAAACATGCTACGAGAAATCAGACATAGGAAATAAGCACAAATCTGTTTGATACAGTTCCTGAAACTTGTAAGCTCTTGTTTCCTGGTGGCAAGGCAGGGATGATGTTCTCAATTCTGTTCCCTTCCCTCAGGTAGAAAAGCCAAAAACCTGAGAAACTTCAGTGTTCAGTAGGAGATCAGGAGTGCCAAAGGCACAACAAAATGCTGTGACTCCCTGGTGAGGCAGAGAAGGTGACTGCTCCCAGGCACTGCGAAACTTGAGCTCCCAGGAGAGAACTCTAAAGAGCCCTGGGCATGCCCTTTTTTCCCCCACTATGGGCAGCAAGAGGATTTTTACTTCCTTTCTCCAACAATTTTTTTTTTTTTTTAACATCTTTATCAATGACC